CACTGGTGTTCACATTGCACAGCTATCACTGGTGTTTGCATTACACAGCTATCACTGGTGTTCACATTACACAGCTATCACTGGTGTTTGCATTACACAGCTATCACTGGTATTCACATTACACAGCTATCACTGGTGTTCGCATTACACAGCTATCACTGGTATTCACATTACACAGCTATCACTGGTGTTCGCATTACACAGCTATCACTGGTGTTCGCATTACACAGCTATCACTGGTGTTCGCATTACACAGCTATCACTGGTGTTCGCATTACACAGCTATCACTGGTATTCACATTACACAGCTATCACTGGTGTTCACATTACACAGCTATCACTGGTATTCACATTACACAGCTATCACTGGTGTTTGCATTACACAGCTATCACTGGTGTTCACATTACACAGCTATCACTGGTGTTTGTATTACACAGCTATCACTGGTGTTCACATTACACAGCTATCACTGGTGTTCGCATTACACAGCTATCACTGGTGTTCGCATTACACAGCTATCACTGGTGTTCGCATTACACAGCTATCACTGGTGTTCGCATTACACAGCTATCACTGGTGTTCACATTACACAGCTACCACTGGTGTTCACATTACACAGCTATAACTTGTGTTCACATTACACAGCTATCACTGGTGTTCGCATTACACAGCTATCACTGGTGTTCACATTACACAGCTATCACTGGTGTTCACATTACACAGCTATCACTGGTGTTCACATTACACAGCTATCACTGGTGTTCACATTACACAGCTATCACCGGTGTTCGCATTACACAGCTATCACCGGTGTTCGCATTACACAGCTATCACTGGTGTTCGCATTACACAGCTATCACTGGTGTTCGCATTACACAGCTATCACTGGTGTTCACGTTACACAGCTATCACTGGTGTTTGCATTACACAGCTATCACTGGTGTTCACATTACACAGCTATCACTGGTGTTCACGTTACACAGCTATCACTGGTGTTTGCATTACACAGCTATCACTGGTGTTCACATTACACAGCTATCACTGGTGTTTGCATTACACAGCTATCACTGGTGTTTGCATTACACAGCTATCACTGGTGTTTGCATTACACAGCTTATTTATGTTATCTTCACAAAGTGTTACACTTTCACTAAATTATTCAGTTTCAGGTGAAATACAAAAACCGAAATCGGTGGAGAATGGTGAAGAGAAGACAAGTGTTGATGCTAATAACAAAATTGCAGACACGCAACAAAATACAGGAAATATTGTTGAAATGGAGACAACAGAAAAACCTACAGAAAACACAGAACAGACAGATACACATAAAAACATTGAACCAGACCCGACAATACCAAAATCAACAGAATCAATTGTTGACTCAGAAAAAACAATTGAGCCTTCTTTAGAAGTACCCCCTCAAACAGCAGAAGAAGATGAAACAGCGCCCTCACATGAAACAGAGTCGGCCACTGAAATAGTGACCCCTGTCAGTGATGCAGTAATCGACAGCAAAGACAGTGAACTAAATACTGAAAAACAACATGAACTTGAGAAAACTGACAACACCACTGAAAAAATGTCAAGTCCAAAAGAACGGGAAGACGGGGAATATTTTTCATCTGAGGATATGCCAGAAAAAGAGGAGGAATATTATCCCCCCATGGAGGAGGAGGAGGATTACTATCCTTGTAATGAGGAGAATGCTGAGGAGAATGTTGAGGAAAGAGTTAATGAACAAGGAGTTGATGAACAGGGTGTTGAAGGAGGAGAATTACCAATGGAATTATCAGAACAAGAAGACAATGAGAACCCAATATCAAGGTATGGAATTGTAGGACAAGTGGGTCTAGTATTAAGGTAAACAATTGAAGGAGAAGTAGGTCTAATATTGAGGTAAACAATTGTACGAGAAGTGGGTCTAGTATTAAGGTAAACAATAGTGAGTGAAGGGGTCTAGTATTAAGGTTAACAGTTATGGGACAAGTGGGTCTAGTATTAAGGTAAACAATAGTGAGTGAAGGGGTCTAGTATTAAGGTAAACAGTTGTGGGACAAGTGGGTCTAGTATTAAGGTAAACAATAGTGAGTGAAGGGGTCTAGTATTAAGGTAAACAATAGTGAGTGAAGGGGTCTAGTATTAAGGTAAACAATTGTGGGACAAGTGGGTCTAGTATTAAGGTAAACAATAGTGAGTGAAGGGGTCTAGTATTAAGGTAAATAATAGTGAGTGAAGGGGTCTAGTATTAAGGTAAACAATTGTGGGACAAGTGGGTCTAGTATTAAGGTAAACAATTGTAGGACAAGTGGGTCTAGTATTAAGGTAAACAATAGTGAGTGAAAAGGTCTAGTATTAAGGTAAACAGTTATGGGACAAGTGGGTCTAGTATTAAAGTAAACAATTGTGGGACAAGTGGGTCTAGTATTAAGGTAAACAATTGTGGGACAAGTGGGTCTAGTATTAAGGTAAACAATTGTGGGAGAAGTTGGTCTAGTATTAAGGTAAACAATAGTGAGTGAAGGGGTCTAGTATTAAGGTAAACAATAGTGAGTGAAGGGGTCTAGTATTAAGGTAAACAATTGTGGGACAAGTGGGTCTAGTATTAAGGTAAACAATTGTGGGAGAAGCAGGTCTAGTATTAAGGTAAACCATTGTGGGAGAAGTGGGTCTAGTATTAAGGTAAACAATTGTGGGAGAAGTTGGTCTAGTATTAAGGTAAACAATTGTGAGAGAAGTTGGTCTAGTATTAAGGTAAACAATTGTGGGAGAAGCAGGTCTAGTATTAAGGTAAACAATTGTGGGAGAAGCAGGTCAAGTATTAAGGTAAACAATTGTGGGAGAAGCAGGTCTAGTATTAAGGTAAAGAATTGTGAGAGAAGCAGGTCTAGTATTAAGGTAAAGAATTGTGAGAGAAGCAGGTCTAGTATTAAGGTAAAGAATTGTGAGAGAAGCAGGTCTAGTATTAAGGTAAAGAATTGTGCGAGAAGCAGGTCTAGTATTAAGATAAACAATTGTGGGAGAAGCAGGTCTAGTATTAAGGTAAACAATTGTGGGAGAAGCAGGTCTAGTATTAAGGTAAACAATTGTGAGTGAAGGGGTCTAGTATTAAGGTAAACCATTGTGGAAGAAGCAGGTCTAGTATTAAGGTAATCAATTGTGGGAGAAGCAGGTCTAGTATTAAGGTAAACAATTGTGAGTGAAGGGGTCTAGTATTAAGGTAAACCATTGTGGGAGAAGCAGGTCTAGTATTAAGGTAAAGAATTGTAAGACAAGTGGGTCTAGTATTAAGGTAAACCATTGTGGGAGAAAGGGGTCTAGTATTAAGGTAAACAATTGTGAGACAAGGAGTATCAAATGTATGGAGTGTTAGGTTATGTGGGATATATGGGACTTATCAAAAGGTCAAATGCCGCTGCTAAAACAATAGGACTTGATCATATGATAATGATTGTTGTTTATTTCCTCCACAGTATACAGTTCTCTACACAATCAAGTTCAGCACCAATGCCAATGTCATTACCACCACCCCCTGTACCACCACAAAGTTTACAACGATTCATGCCACCCCCACCAATGCCACCACCAAGTCTACAAAGGTTAATGCCACCTCCACCCATACATCCATTTAATGTGGATAGGTCATTTAGTAATGATGATATGGATTTAGATTCTGGGGATGAAGAAACAGCAAATATACAGATGGTGTGAATAACAATACTCTGAATTTGAACACCAGTATTTTTTTATTGCATTAGTTGGACATTTTAAATAAAGACTGACGATATTGAATTGAGTCGCTCGCCATAATGAATTGTGCTGAGATGTCAGATGTTTTGAACTGTGAGATGTTGGACATTTTGAACCGAGATGTCCGCCATTTTGAACCGAGATGTCATCCATTTTGAACCGAGATGTCATCCATTTTGAACCGAGATGTCATCCATTTTGAACCGAGATGTCATCCATTTTGAACCGAGATGTCATCCATTTTGAACTGAGATGTCGGCCATTTTGAACCGAGATGTCATCCATTTTCAACCGAGATGTTGGCCATTTTGAACCAAGATGTCATCCATTTTGAACTGAGATGTCGGCCATTTTGAACCGAGATGTCATCCATTTTCAACCGAGATCCTGGCCATTTTGAACCAAGATGTCATCCATTTTGAACCAAGATGTCATCCATTTTGAACTGAGATATCATCCATTTTCAGAATATCTGATAATTAATTTTTCTATGGTCAGTTGTTTTGTCTATAAAATAAATATTGTCAGTTTCGTGCACATCAGCGTTGTGGTTAGTCACTTATGACTGATTAGTTGGTTACTGTATTTTGTCATTGCTTATAATTTATTTAAGCAATTAGTGAAAGACTCCATTCGTATACATATTTGTCAACCATCTTTACATGTGAACATGAATCAGTGAATGGTTGATATTTGTAAACCATCTTCATGTATAATAGACAACATGTATTCAATTTTGAATGACTCAGCATTTAATTTTTGTCGGCCATCTTGGATTTTTCAGAGGTTAAGGGTCAACCTACTAATTGTCTGTGTGTCGTGAACAGAAACTACAATTGGTATTGGTGTACAAATTACTGCCATGTTGACAGTGTTTATATTTTAAAGTCTAATAAATTGTCTGCACTGGGTTACTTTCACAATAAACAGGTAGTTCTTAAAATGACTAGTGTATTTATGTTAACATTCATTTTGTAACATAGTTGCCAGTATGTGTGACATTTATGTGTGACACTCGATGTAATAGTTGCCTAGAATGTTAGAATGCTTTGACTGATCTCATTCAACACAAAAAATCACAACTACCTCCAGGTAATATTTCCTTATGATTGTCAGTCAGAATTGATGATAAAGACATAACTGTCTAGTTATACCTGTTGACATAGCACCTGCAGTGGTGGGAAGTGTGATGAATGTGGAACCTTAACCATTCTGTGATTTGCTCTCATATTGCCATGTCATAAGCTCATTAGCATATTCAGGAATGATTTTACGACCAATCAGACAGAGTTCACGACCAGTAGAGGTTATTTCACGATTACACAGGAGATATTTCACCTGTTTGGATGAATTCCTAATCAGTATGTTTCACGACCAGTCAGGGATGTTTTTACGATGAGTCTGGACTTTTTTATCAATAAGTTTTTATTAAATCTTGGATATTATATTAACCAGTTTGGGATCTTGGCCAAGTTCGATTTTTAAATTCCAGTGTGCAATAAAGTGACATACCATATATGGTAATCATATTGTCATCTTAGAAAGTGACACCATATTACACTATATATGGTAATCATTTGTATACTGTCATCTTAAAAATAAAGTGACACCATTTTACACCATATATGGTAATCATTTACATACTGTCATCTTAGAAAGTGACACCATATTATACCATATATGGTAATCATTTGCATACTTTCATCTTAGAAAATGATTCCATATTATGCCATATATGGAAATAATTTGCATACTGCACCATATATGGTAATCATTTACATAGTCATTTTAGAAAGTGACACCATATTATACCATATATGGTAATCATTTACATAGTCATCTTAGAAAGTGACACCATGTTATACCATATATGGTAATCATTTGCATACTGTCATCTTAGAAAATGACACCATATATGGTAATAATTTGCACACTGTCTGTTTATAAGAAATGACATGTACAAATTAACATATATGGTAATCATTTCAGTAGCACCATTTAAAATATATCCTTAGGTTTCCCTAGTTCTAATCCTCACCCTGCCCATACACCTCTCTATAATAGCTATAGGTGTCATTAGGAAGGTATATTCAATTAAATTTGGGGGCACTGCAGGGTAGGATTAGAATTAGGACGTACACAAAAACAGTTCCCAGTAAAAGGTTATCGCCCTGTACTATCAGTGTGTACATGTTTTATTTTTGTTTAATACATCTTTCTTTTGGAAGGGTTCTTTTTCTATTTTATTAATACACAACGATTATGCTATATGTTAAGTGGTAGAGTGCTGGTCCTCTATGATTTACAACACTTTTATGAAACATTTCTTTGAAACGCTTTGCTCAGCAGCTTCAATTTACGTAAACAACTTTCAAACTTTTGTCAAAAATATGACAATCATTACATGATGGCTACGAACATTTGAAATTCACCATATATCGAGCATGAGGGCGCTGTTCTCCTAAAACTGTTGTTAACTTGCTGTCATACATATGGGTAAATATAAAGAAAGGCTACAATATTGATAACATTGGCGTTCGACCCTAAAAAGGGTCTATGCAATCTTCGGGGCGGACATCCCGGCATTTTCACCGCCTGGCAACCATCGGGGTGAAAACAAAGGCCAAAAACTCTCAGAAAACAGTACTTTTGGATGGTTGTCAAGACTCCTCTGAACAGTATAACAAGATTATTCCTACGTGTGCGCATAAATAAATTCGGTTGTTCAGGATTACTTCAAAGTTGAGTTTGTGTTGTTTTCTCGAATTTTCACCGGCTCGACTGGTGATCCACAGCAGCGTGCACCGAGCCCATAGAAATACATGTACAGTGGTGCACTTCTTAGCAAAGTGGAACGTCTTGTGACGTAGCTCCGCCCCTGAGGATAGCCAATAATATATATCAAGCCACTTCATGATTTGAAATACTTTTATTAATAGATCAAAATGCAATTAAAAAAACAACAGACTAAAGCATTTACTGAAACCAACACTATACATACGAAAAGAATAAGTAACGTTTGGTAAAAATTGGTTTTCTTTCACACTATTGTGAACAAAAACAATGTTATTTTCAGTGGTAAGAATTTTAATTCACTGGTGAGAAATTGTCATGTATCTTAACATGTACAAAAAGCATGTCAACAGTAACATTTCAAAAAACAAGATGGCTGCTTGTCATTGAATTATGTTGGATTGGAATACGAAATGAACAGTATCAACATGTATTTCATACAATTGAGTAAAGTAATGTACTGAAACCAAACATAACTGGATTTTTATGAAAACATGCCATGATTTGAAATATATTTTGAATTAAAGTAATCTGAGTAAATCTTTTGCCTAGAGTAAAAAATAAAAACCATTTCATGTTATCGCTTTCGAGACTGACATTTAAATACAATGCTATTTGATAAACTGAAGATCTCAGACTGCTATAAATGTCCATTTTCAATGAAGCTGCTTGTCCATTAGAGAAGTACATCATGTTGTATATGTAAATTCACTGTGCTTCAATGATGCAATCATGTCTACATGAAATAAATAACAATTAGAGTTAACCATTTCATGAGGTAATTACAGATATGTACGAATACGTTCCTTTTTAATTAATTAATAAAAATATAAGGAGCAGATTTTGGTGCATGTCATATGTAAATTGTTAGAAATACAAAAACAAATATATAAATAAACAATTCTTAAAAACGATGTGCTTAATTTCCATCACATGATATCCCTTTATGTATAAACTAAGTTTCCTGAGTACCTGTCACGTATATACCTAATTTATAGAGTATACTCTGGGTATACGCAAGAGAGCCACATTTAGCTGGGTTTTCTTGCGTACTGTTGCCGAGTACAAAATGTATCTATTGCGTATCTATCTATTGCATACCCATCTATTGCGTACCCATCTATTGCGTACCTATCTATTGCGTACCCTATCTATTGCGTACCCATCTATTGCGTACCTATCTATTGCGTACCTATCTATTGCGTACCCATCTATTGTGTACCTATCTATTGCGTACCTATCTATTGCGTACCTATCTATTGCGTACCCATCTATTGCGTACCCATCTATTGCGTACCCATCTATTGCGTATCTATCTATTGCGTACCAATCTATTGCGTACCCATCTATTGCGTACCTATCTATTGCGAACCTATCTATTGTGTACCTATCTATTGCAAACCTATCTATTGTGTACCTATCTATTGCAAACCCATCTATTGCGTACCAATCTATTGCGTACCTATCTATTGCATACCCATCTATTGCGTACCCATCTATTGCGTATCTATCTATTGCGTACCAATCTATTGCGTACCTATCTATTGCGTACCTATATATTGCGTACCTATCTATTGCGTACCTATCTATTGCGTACCTATCTATTGCGTACCCATCTATTGCGTACCTATCTATTGCGTACCTATCTATTGCGTACCTATCTATTGCGTACCTATCTATTGCGTACCTATCTATTGCGTACCTATCTATTGCAAACCTATCTATTGCGTACCTATCTATTGCGTACCTATCTATTGCGTACCTATCTATTGCAAACCTATCTATTGCGTACCTATCTATTGCGTACCTATCTATTGCGTACCTATCTATTGCGTACCTATCTATTGCGTACCTATCTATTGCGTACCTATCTATTGCGTACCCATCTATTGCGTACCCATCTATTGCGTAACTATCTATTGCGTACCCATCTATTGCGTGCCTATCTATTGCGTACCAATCTATTGCGTACCAATCTATTGCGTACCTATCTATTGCATACCCATCTATTGCGTACAGGGACTTTCCATAAGGAATCAATCACAATTTACAATAATATATATATATGTTTCCAAATACTTGCCATTAATTTGTGTTTGATATCAATTATTGTATACTGCAATGTACAAATCTGCAACATAGACTTCTATGTTTTCTTGATTCTGAAAGCGATACCATAAATTCAATGTTAACATCAACAACATTCACTCCAGTAACCTAGCTAGCAAGGTGTTTAGTATGGCTAGGCAGCACATGTATGGTCAAATGAATATACAAGTTTAACAAAATTCGCTGTTATGTTCATATATATATATAACATCTACTGGGAATAAAATTGAAGCGATCGGATGAGTGCCTGCTGATTAGTAATTAAAACAAAAAATATACTAATTATCCATATCTATAGATGAATAGTGATGTTGCTGAATTGTTTGTTGTAAAACTGCCATACTTGACTGAGTTTTAATAATAATGTAAAATACATA